AGAACTCAAATGCCAGTACATGTAGGAACGTTACTTACTTTAATAGTTATATACCTAATTTTAATGCATACATACATTTATGTGAATTAGAAAACTACATGAACTGTTACATCAAGAATTTTTAATTTGTAGAGTCCCTGGGTGGTGCAAACACTTTTGCATTTTGTTGTTAACTGAAACTTTGGAGGTTCAAGCCCACCTAGAGGCTCTTTGGAAGAAAAGCCTGGTGACGTACTTCTGAAAAATTAAACATTCAGAATTTATGGTATACAATTATACTCTAATAAACATGGGCTCATCATGAATCGGAGTTCACTGGACAGTATCTTGTGGTTACTACTTCAAAAGTTGCTGCCTTTTAAAATAAGTTGTTTAAAAAAGAATCAAAAGCAATAATAATACAAGCAGCCCTGGCCGGCCCTGTAATGCAATCACAGACTGCAGGTCATTTGTAATGCAATCACAGACTGCAGGTCATTTGAATTGCAGTTTAATCTCACCAGGTACTCCTCGTAAACCCTATGCAAGGTCTCTATGAGTCGGAACTGCCTGAATGGCACTTAACAACAACAACAACAATGATACATACATATATATATACACTAAAGGATTACAAGCTGGACTGCTAACCACAAGGTCAGCAGTTCAAATCTACCAGCCTCTCTGTGGGAAACAGATGAGGCTTTCTGCTCCTGGAAAGATTTACAGCCTCAGAAACCCTATACAGGGCACTAGGAGTCAGAACCGACTCCACGGCACATAACAACAATAACATGTGCTTATGAGTAATACAAACTGAGCTCCCAGCAATCCATTCACCAAAGATTGTAAAAAATAAAAATCATAGCTAAGACTGTTCTGCTTAATATGTCAGTCTTTAAATATGTATCAATTTATTTCTCCTTCATAACCAACTTGTGAGATAGTACGATTATTACTTCCATTGACAGAGAAGGAAACTGAAGCCTAGAGAAGTAATGGAGCTCATCTAAGATCACACAACTGGTAAGTGGCAGAACAAAGACTCGGTCTAGGCTTTCTGCATCCAGAATCCATGTTCCTAACAATAATACCATGCTGCCACACATAAAAATATTAAACAAGTAATGTTAACATTGGGAGACAGATAGGATCCAAAGCATGAAATGGTATGATAATTACAGAGGTTTGAGAAACAATAAAGAGAACGCCCAATAGATGAGCAATCAAGCCTTTGGTAAATATATAATATGTTCATCACTCTGTGAGAAATCAAGATGGATATGGCAGAGACAGGGCAATTAATGAGAATATAATATAGTTAAACAGCAACATATGGCATTATGTGCAGTCGATTCTCATTATCCCCAGATTCTGTATTTGAAAATTAGCTTAGTCACTAAAAAAATCACTTTGCACTCCAAAATCAACACTCATGGGACTTTCATAGTTATCCATGGACTTGCACAGAATAGGGGGATGAGTCTCTCAAAGCTCTCATGTTCCTGGCTAAGGTAAAACAAGCTGATGTTCTGTCTCCTTGTTTCTGCTCACATGCTGTAAACAAGTGTTCTTTTCACAATCTATTTAACGTCATGTCTCTTTTGTATTTTTGTGCTACTTGTTGGTGATTTAAAATCACCTCCAAGTATACTGCTGGTACGCTGTCTAATGTTCCTAAGCACAGGAAATCTATGATGTGCTGATGTGGATTGTGGAGAAAATGTATGTTACATAAGCCCTGATTAGTCACGAGTTGTGCTGCTGGCTGGGGTAAAGTGTTAATCAATCAACAATACATATTAAACAGAAATACACATGAAACAGGTTAGATATTGATCAACTGATAAAAACGTTGTGATTGGAGCCTTGTAAGAACTTAACCCTGTATCCTGTATTTCAGAGCTTTGAACCAGTTCATTGTCCTGCTGAGAATTTGCATTCCCTCCTCAGATATACTGAATCAGAAGCTACCATTTAACAAGATCCCCAGGGGATTCTTCTGACTGCATAGGAATGGTTAGAAGCCCTATTCCGTATTCACAGTAACTTTACAAAGCACAACTACCACAAATAACAAGGAACCCTGATAGCCTAGCGGTTTACAAGCTGGGCTGCTAACTGCAAAGTCAGCAATTGGAAGCTACCAGTCTCTCTTCAGAAGAAAGATGAGGTGCTGTACTCCCGTAAAGATTTACAGCTTTGGAAACCCTGTACAGGTCACCAAGAGTCAGAACTAACTCAGTGTTACAAAACCACCACCACCATAAATAAAAAGAATTGTCTAGAATTAGTTGCTAAGAAAGTGATACTGGCCATTGGTTCTCAATCGCCTTTCCTCAGTGATCAATACAGTGGGCACAGTGACTCCATACAATAAGCACTGGACTGCAAACGACAAGGTCCGTGGTTAGAGCCCACCAGCCACTCACAGGAAAAAGATGAGGCTTTCTGCTCTGGTGAATTTAAAAGCCCCAGAAACCCTATACAGGGTCACTATGAGTTGGAACCAACTCGACAGCACTTAACAAGAATACAATAGATGATGTTCATACTTGGAACCCTCCTCCATGGCCATACCACAGTGATGAATGTGGCTCTCAGTGACCTGGCTGTGTACTGGTAGAGGTTATGTTCTGTCAAGTCACTTGCAACTCATAGCAACACATAGGGGTTCGAAGGTTATACATCTTTATGGGAGCAGAAAGCCTCATATTTCTCCCATGGAGCATTTGGTAGATTTGAACTGCTGACCTTACTATTAGGAAGCCAGCTTGTAATTCACTATGCTACCAATGCTTCTTATAGTAGCTGTAAGACCACTCTGTCTCTCCCTGATATAAACATGGCAAATAATGAAGTCAATGAGGAGAGATCATGATGACTGGACTGATAAGAATTCATAGAGAAGGCAGATTTACTCTGAGTCTAGAAGAAAGAATAGAATTTCAGTAGGTGGAGAAGATACAAGTTTCCTAACAAGGGGAAGAGCCTAAGCAAGGATAAGAACCCACAGCAAAAGCAGAAGGTCTGTGCAGGGTAGTTGTTGTTGTTGTTGTTTGTTGTGAAGTGCCGTCGAGTCAGCTCCGACCCATAGCGACCCTGTAGAGGGTTTCCAAGGAGCGGCTGGTGAGCTTGAACTGCCGACCTTGTGGTCCCAACCAACTTTGAAGTCCAGCGCATTAACCCACAGTTCCACACCAGGACTCCAGGACAGCGGTAGCAGAGGACAAATTTAGAAAGCTAAGCATTAAACTTAAAAAGGATCAACAATTCAGACTTGATCATATAAACAGGGGTTATCAAATTATAGCCCACAGGCCAAATCCATCTTGTCACCTATTTTTGTATACCCTACTGAGTTTGAACTGCAGAGTCGACATTTCAAACCCACCAGCTACTCCTTGGAAGCCCTACATTTGACACTATGAGTCAGAACTGACTCGACAGCACTTAACAAAAATAAGCTAAGAATAGCTTTTTACGTTTTTTTATAAGTACATTTCAATTATTTATATTATCTGTTACCATCAATCAATGCCAACTCATGACAGCCCCACATTGTAAAACTGTGCTCCATAGGATTTTTTGATGGCTAGGTTTTGGAAGTAGATGGCCAAGCCTTTCTTCTGAGGTGCCTTTGTTATACTTTTGGTTGGTTGTCAAGTATGTTAATATTCACACCATTCAGGGATTCCAGCATTAAATTACTATCTACATAGTACCCTGACTATTGCCTCTTGGCCGTACCTACCCTACCTATTTGCTGTTGAGTTGATTCCAACTCATAGTGACCCTGTTATTGTTATTGACATAAAGTGCCATTAGGTCATTAAGTGTTCTTATGTCGGTTCTGACTCTTAGAGATCCTATATAGGGTTTCCAAGGAATGACTGGTGGGTTTGGACCACCAACCTTGCAGTTAGCAGTCCAGTGCTTATCCTATAGCACCACATTGTTTACTGTCTAGCCCTTTACAAAAAAAAAAGTTTACTGACTTCTATTTAAACAATGGGAAGCTACTGAGAATTTCTGAGTAGAGGTGCCAGGAAGAAAGTAATATTTTAGTAATAGCAAGTTTTTTCTGGAAGTAATGGGCAGGAGAATTGAAGGGAGAAAATAAAGGTGTCGATATTTTTAAAGTTTGGGAACTCAACTTGGATGGTGGCAGTAGAATGCAAAGGAAAGAGCAGATTCAGGATGGCTCACAAAATTAAAAGTATCAACACTTGGAGCCTGTGTTAGACTGACTAATGGTCCCCAAAAAATTTCAATGTCTTTGTCACTGCAAATGTTACTTTGGCAAAAGGTCTTTCCAGGTATGATTGAGTAAAGGGTTTTGAAAGGGGGAAAGTATCTGGGTTTTCCAGGTGGAATCAGTGTGATCATAAAAATCCATACAAGAGAGAGCTAGGACAATCAGAGCCAGAGAATGAGATGTGAGAATGGGAGCAAGAGGTTGAAGTGATGCAGTCACTAGAAACTAGAAAAGGCAAGAAAAAAGAAGCCTCCCTGCCTACACCTTGAATTTGAACTTCTGACCTCCAGAAGTTCAAATAATAAATGTGTGCTGTTTTAAGCCATGAAGTTTGTGAGTAGAGACAATCTACAGGATACAAACATCCAAGTTACATACAGCCAGGTTACATACAGCCAAAAGATATGAATGAATCCTTGTAAAGCCTTTTATACTAAAAATCCAAGGTATATAACAATAGTTCATAATAAAAAAATGCATGCTACTTTATGACACACATCAAAACATTATTATCATTATTGTTGTTGTATTATGTTAAAGATACTTTAGCATATCTGGAAGTGTTTCTTGAATGTTTTTTATGTACACTATATACTATGGCACCTAACAACAACAACATATAGTATACATTATGACAAATATTGGAGTCTAGGTATGGCGTTGTAGGATAAGCACTGAACCGAAAGATCAGTGTGAACCACCAAGTTGGTAGCTCAAACTCACAGACACTCCTTGGAAACCCTATGCAGGGTTGCAATAAATTGGAACTGACTACACAACACTTAACAACAAGAAAACAACTATTGGAGTCCTGGGGTAGCACTGTAGGATAAGCTCTAAATGCTAACTGCAAAGTTGGTGGTTTAAATCTACCAGTTGTTCCCCAGAAACCCTTTACAGGGTTGCTATGAGTTGGAGCCAACTTGATGGCACTTAACAACAAGACAATTATTTGACTGACATTAGACATGAACTACACTTAACACTTTCCACTCACAGATAAATTTGAGTTAAAGGCAGATATAGGAATGAATGTGTTCATATTCCAAGAACTGCATATAAAGTCTAGAGAATACATTTTCACAGGCCAGGAAGCAAGTTCAAGGAGAAGAGGTAAGCAACCATGTTTTTGCATTAAAACTGTTGTGTTCTAAAAGGGAGGAAGAGAGAGAAAAAACAGAGACCCAATCATTTAGCCACAATGAAAAACAGAGGAAGAAGTGGGACTACCATGAAACTTTGACTCCTCTTACAGGTTTTGGGAGGGGTGGACTAAATTTTCCTAGTTGCTGTGCCAGGAAGGTCAGTGAAGAGAGTAACCATATAGAGCAGGTAAACTTAAGGTGACTACATACCTCATCTTGTTCACTACTGTAACACCAACAATGGGTATAACCCTGGCAAACAATTTATACTTCTTCTTGTTGTGTGCCATTGAGTCAGTTCTGACTCATAGAAAACCTATGTAGGGTTTCAAAAGTGGCTGCTGGGTTTGAACTATAGACCTTTTGGTTTACAGTTCATTGCTTATCCTACAGCACCACACCAGGGCTCATTATATTTAGTAATGTTTATTAACTGACTGACATTCCCCAGAGAAAGGTCACTCATGTTCAATATTATCCATGATATTTCTTCATCCAGTATATAATTTTCAGCAAAGCAACAATAAAAAAATTTTAAATCACCTTTGGCACTACATCACACCTATATATCCCCAGCAAAGTAGTTCTGGGCTGAAGAAAAGCTCAAACCTGAACAATTTACAAATATCCTTTGGGGTATGTAGCAGAGAACTCCCCAAGTCCCTGAGCCATGGAAACAGCTGAGTCAGTCACCTCTGCTAAAATCCCAGCCTCTGAGTTGATGTCTGTGGTTGCTATTGTCAAATGCCCTGGAATCAATTCTGCAAAGGGTAATTGTAATAGTGGTTCATTGATACTCATTTAAATTCCTGTTGACTAAGAAAAATAGCATACCTCGCATTTGTAAAATGGACCATTGCTGTAACACAACTTAAGTCCTTGGAAGGCAAGTAAGGATGATGTAGTGTGAGAATTACCTTTCAGAAACACGGAGACATCTTCAAGTTGGGGCACGTTGTCCTCCCTGTAGCCACAGTATTTAGTCAGCAGAGGGAAGTTTTTCAAATACTCCCGGCAAGCATGAGTGGGATAGAGTTTGGAGAGCTCACGAAACACAACACCCCAAGTTTTAGTCTCTTCTTCCGTGTACTCCACCCTAGGAATGGGCTGACCACTAGACAGAAGAGGGAAAAAATGAGGAAAATTGGTTTTGGATCACTGAGACAAATGCATTTGGACCTCAGTACCTAACCTCACGTCAGATTCTTACAAAGTGAATCCTGAGTATTTAAAAGGATCTCATTGGATATTAGCTTTTAAAGTAAATCCCAACAATCTATTGTGTGTATCTTTGGCTTCTATATAAATGATTTCATTAAGTTACATCTTCACAAATCCTTATGGAAATTTTATAAGATCTATATTCTAAAACTGAAGCTGGTAACAAGTAAGATTCTGGATTAGAAGAAACTGGTTTAGGTACAAAGCTGTGCTCTGAGACCCTTGTTTGCAATCAACTGACAACAATAATAAATGGATGTTTTCTCTAGAGAATAAAATTGCCTTGTGGGTTTTGTTTTTTTGTTTTTTGTTTTTTTTTTCCCCTTTCCCAGACTCACCCCAATCTCCAAGTGTAATTTTGAGATTATTTGTTCAGTGCAAAATGTCTGAGAAGTTCTAAAAGACTATGTTAAATGTATAAGCAAGAGTTTTACAAACCACAAAATAGAAGAATTTATAGCACATCATGCTAAGAATTGTACATGTTAAGCCCTATTTTTTCTGTCAAGGACCCAATACTAAATATTTTAGGCTTAGGGCCATACTGTCCCTGTCACAACTACTTGGTCTGCATTGTAGCTCAAAAACAGTCATAAATGAGTAAGCATAGATATAAAGGTGCTTCAAAAAATTCAGGAAAGAGGAACAAACAAGATGGCAGATTGGGTACAAGTGCAGTGAGGAGCTCTGTCAGCAAAAACATAGAATACCAGGCCAAGCGGGCTCAGGGGATGGTGCCAGAACTCTGAACCACATATAAAGAAATATTTCAAAAGTTAGAAGGCTTACAACTAGGGGAATTGGTAGCAGAAGCAAGAAATCCAGTGCTTTCTAATTCAAAACAGTCAGCTGCTCCCAAAGCTGCCATCTTGGGCGAGACCAAGTGGGGGAAGATTCAGAGCAGCCATGGATGCCTGACAGAACCATAGAGATATAGGTGTGGACAC